TTGTTGGTTGGTTAATCTAGCAGAATTTAAATCCTAAGAGTTTGGGTTCACCTCTGGATCCAAATTTTGAATGGCCCCATCACCCAATGTGTCAAGGAGTTAAAGAGCGCGCGCGCGTGGCGGCCTTCGGAAGGGGCATGGGATTGGGCAGCGGGGGCTGTTGCTGACTCTCATCTCAGGGTGGCACACCGACTCAGCCGAGAGGACAGTAACTAGTTGGGCCAATGGATGCCGAGTGTGCAGCTTTACGATCTGAAAGGAAATTAATCATCCAAGCATATGCCTTGAGTTTGGAACATTTCATTCTGCCAAGTGAACGTTCTAAAATAATTATGCAGCCTGCTGTCATTTCTAAAACTAGCTAGATATGGGGAGGATCCAATTAAAGAGCCCTACTAAAACCTGATTGAAAAAACCTCCACTTGCCTCATTGTCATTTCAGAATCTGTATTAAGCACCTCTTCCATTCTGAGGACTGTGCAGGGTACCTAGAAAATGCACGCACAAAGGACCACAATGGACTCTGCTTGACCTTGAGAACAACCCTGCCTGAGGGGAGATGGAGGAGGAGACACTGCAGAGTTCCGGCTTCGTCAGCCCTCGCTTTGTTAACGTTAAGATGGGCTTAACCAGCTGCCCCAAAGCAATTTGAAAATAACATGTGATAAAAAAGACAATACTTTGAAACGTAAAAAAAAATGCACTTCATTTATATAAGATGTAGTAACAGCACATATCTTATTTATGATGTAACTTGGCTTGGTCATATAATATGTATCATAATATGTGCAAAATTTCCCAAAGTGAATTCAACACATCTCTAATTCTGTGAGATGTTTATATATGTTCCTAAAAAAAAAAAATTTTTTTTTTAAGGCTGTGGGCAAATAAATAAGTCTAAGGAACAGAGGGCCTGGCAAAGTAAACAGTTTTTCTATTATTAGCACTACCCTCTTCAGCTATTGCGAGCTGCCAAGGAGCCAGGCCTCAACTCCTGGTGACCCCACGTTCAATGGGATTGGGCTGCTGCGATTCACAGAGTTTCAAAGGCTGATTTTCACAAGTAGAACATCAAGTCATTCTTCCTAGTCAGCCTTTGTCTGGAAGCTCTAAGGAAACCAGGCTCCACTGACAGACAGGTAGTAACTGTGCTTGAGATGCCGTGGCCATGAATCCAAGCTGGGTTGGCCACATGGGAAGGCAAGAATCCTATACGTCCCCCACCATTACCAACAGCTAACCTTGAATAAATACCAGACACCAGGCTAGGTCTTGTATAATGACTATCTAACTTAACCTCACAACAACAGTATCATATAAGATACAGTGTAAGACATGGCAAAATAATAAGAATTTATAAATTATCAAGCAAGGGAAGGGAAAAAATGAGCTGATAGCAAGGGCTCAAGTAGAAAGAAAATGTTTTGAGAGTGATGATGGCAACAAATGTACAAATGTGCTTGACACAATGGATGGATGTATGGACTGTGATAAGAGTTGTATGAGCCCCCAATAAAATGATTTTAAAAATAAAAATAAAAAGGTTCTACTGCTATTATTGACATTTTAAATAAAAAGGAACTCAGGCAGAAGGCATTATATAATTTGCCTAAGGTCACCCAGCTAGTTAGTAGTTGATGCAGAATTCAAAGATCAGAGTCCCCACACTTACACACAACACATACTGTTCTCTCTTTAGTTTCAAGTATTGGAAATATTCACTGTGATTCTCTCAAATCTGAAAAGAATATGCCTATTTCCTGAGTTTGTTTGTTTGCATTTTTTAGCAATGTTGGGGAATGGAGTGATATAAAAATATATCCTTTCCTTTTCTCCAAACTTGGCTTCTTCCTAGGTTGGACTATATTCTGGTCTAAAGTATTTCCTTTGAGGTCCATTTAACCCAAATCCATGATATAAGAAACAGCAACTTAGTAGCACCTACGTCAATGACTGTCATAACACAGACAACCACTCCACACAACCCAGTGGGTTCTAGGGGCAGAATTCTGTGCTATATAATTGTTCCGAACATCTAGACATAAAGACTAAAAATGTGGTCCACTACTAAAGAATATGCATTGTAGCTCCACGCTATATCAGATCCTTGACATTCACAGCACCCCATCAAGTAGAACAAATAAGGCTGAAGTATTAAACTTATGCTTTGTATTTATTAGCTTTATTATATTTTATAAGGAAAAAAATTAAATAGGCCCATTAGGCAGTTTTGTTACCAATGAATGGATTTTCCAGTATTTTCCTCATCTAGTTTATGTAGCATAGCCTGTAATGTATTCACTTTGTTTGAAAACCCACACTTTTTATAGTCAGCACCATTAAGGTAAATAAACTTAGTATAGGAGAAACTCAATCACGACACATCAAACACTTCATTTTACAGAGACTTTAGTAAAGTGGAGTCTCATTCCTGGATGCTTATACCGTGTCTTTGCGGAACTAAAAGTCAGGGATATAGGATGAAAACACAAGTTAAACCCAGGCTAAAGCAAGAGCAGGATCGTGAACACGTAGCTGTACAACCTGGGGTCTTCAGTCTTTACCTGCAAGCGTCAAGTGAGCAATAACAGATGAAATTTCTTCTTGTTATTTGACAGCTACTATACGAAGTACTAAAATGATCATGATACTGCCACTGACCTTTCGTAAGCAACCACTACTGAGAATGTATTAGACCCTGCATGTACATAGAGCACTAGTAACGATAGCTAAAGAAACTCTATGGATAAATTGCTAATGTCACTGCAGTGATCTAGCAGTTAAAGGACCTGTGCTACGGGCGCATGGGAGAAGGTTCCAGTGAAGTAGATTATGAGTCTACAGAAACATTTGTTTTTATTCCATTTGAATCTAGAGAAAGGAATCTAATGGGTTTCCAGAGATCTCTTCTGTTTTATCGTATCTGGCATAAGAGCAATAAGAATCAGAAAGGGTGAAGTTTTGGAAACGGATCCCTCCAGGAAATACAAGGTGTGCCCGTTCTTTGTTTTAATTCTAAGGGTATCAGAATCCAACAACTTCAGAACAGGGAAAACCCAAATGAGGCCAGAATCAGAAGGGGACGGCGGAGGTGCAGAGGCGCCATCAATGGCAAACAGGGGCGACTGGCGGGGAACAGCAGGATGGTCCCAGGAAGGAAAACATCGTTGCTGTTGGTGAGTGTCATTGAACCCATTTCGACTCGCAGTGACCCTAGTACATCAAACACTCCTCTGTCCTGTACCATTTTCACAGTGTTCTGTTTGAGCCCCTTGCTCAAGTCACTGTGTCCATCCATCATTGAGGATCTTCCTTATGGTTGCTGATCCTCTGCCTCAAAGCTAAAGCATTCGATATCAGGCGTATCTGACCCAAAGATTAGATAAGTTGGAAATACGTTATCTATTAACTTTCGAAACAAGTACAGGTGTACCTGAGAGATATTGAGGGTTCAGTTCTGGTTCCACATCAGAGCAATAAAACCAATATCACAATAAAATAAGTGACACATTTTTTTACTACTCAGTGCATATAAGTCATATTCATACCACACTGTTGTCTACTAAACATGCAATGACCAGCATTAAGAAAAGGTCTGAGCTGTTGTGAGAATGACCCGTGTGACACGGAGACACAAAGTGAGCCTGTGCTGCTGAGGAAAACGGTGCCCCAGACCTGCTGGAGACGGGGTTGCCACAAACCTTCGAGTTGTTAGCTACACATACACACAGCACAGCATTTTCAAAGCACAATAATGTGAAGTGCTATCAAAGGAGGTATGCCTGTGTTCACAGAACTATGTTACTTGGGGGGAAAAACAATGCAAACATGGAAACAAAAGTTAAAGGGCTAGTTTTTCAAGGCACAGAAAGACTTATGGCCTACCTCTGTGTGTAAGGACTAACGCACTGTTAGATGGGTGATGGACCCAGAGGACTGTCGAAGCTCCTACCCTTGAGAAATCCAGTTCTCCCTCAAGGGTGCATTATGTATGGGATGGTCTGGGGTTTTAGGAGGTGACCTTTGATCTGTCTTCATGTGGTTAGTCAGAATGTAAGGATTGAGGAACATTGATAACCAATTAGAACATAAGTGAATTATTTTGGAACTTTGAAAACATGTATTCGTGGCTGTTAAAATATCCAAGGTAAAAAGCACAATCATAATGTGATGCAGGGTTAGCGTATATATGGAAAACAGCTCTCTGGAGGAAAGCTTTATTACTCCCTCAGGGCTTTCTTACAGAGTATGGATTTTTTAATTCCTAGCGGAATATTTTTCATACACCATTGCAGACTATTAAGTACCAGATATTACATTATGTAGTTTAAACTTTGCGCTACTGCATGAGAAAGACTTCCCTGTCGAGAGAACTATTTTTTACTGTTAGCAGTTTTTAATATGAAAATGAATACTCCTTTAGGGTAAGAAACACAGCAACTGGAATTTGGGAGAACTTTGTAACTTAACATATTCATCAATGTGTAGAAAGTCTCTCGGGGGAAGAGGGTGAGGAGAGGAGGAAGCACAACAGGAAGGAGGTTTTTTAATAACTTAGAGTGTCGACACAGGGCAAGGCAATGGTATTTATAAGGTTTGACTTCCACGGGGCAGAGCTGTAAACAGGCAGGGGACTAGCATAGGGTGCTAGCAAGTTAAAAAATAATGGTGTTAAAGAGGGAAGGTTAAAAAAAAAACTGTATTAAATTGCTGGCCAGTTAAAGGTACACTTGCTTATGGTGGACTATTAACTGCTCGCCCAGGAGAGATCCAGACTCAGAAATATTAAAAAGGCAATATAAATGCACTTTCTTTCCCAAGCAATTCCTGAGAAAATAATAGATGGCTTGAAGAATTCTGGAGTCAAATGTGGAAATACAGTCTAAGCACTGGGGCGGTCACTTAAAAATCCCTGTCACAGAGAACTTGGGTACCTTTGAAACTTGAAACCTGTCATTTGGCAAAAGGGGACAGAAAGTTTAAACAAAATGGACACTCACTTGTAGACTGTGCCTCCGTTGCCATGGCCGAGGGTGTCTCGATACCGTATGTCTTGCTCATTCATCTCCACGAGAAAGAAAAACAAAAAGGGTGTCATGCTGTGGATGGAAATGTCAAGGGAAAGCAACTCTGGGCCATAAACAACAAGCAGTCTGGGTCACTTCAAGTTCAGCGGCAAGAGCGAGAAGATCAATACAACATTTGCTGTCCAATTTATAAAAGACGATGCCAAGGGACAAAGTGATGGAAAGTTTAATGACAATTTGTTTGCCTGGGTCATTTCATTAAAGTTTGATAAAAGGTGTCAAAATGGAATGATATAACATAGCTCAAAAGGGTCAGGTCAAGAGATACCAATAAGAAAACGGTCTCCAGCGCGGCATACAGCCACAGCCAAACAGCACCGCGCAGAGCCAAAGCCAAACTTGAGGGACGGCGGACACACACCCAGTGATCTAATCCACAGTGTGTAAATAAGTCAGCCCGGGAACTCCTGGGCTGACCCTGTCATTAACATTGCACAAGTTAACTGAAAAATGTTTATGGTAGCGTTCCTTTGTGAATGACGAATTAGTACACAGCTACAACTGGATTGGAATCATATTATACTGATGAAAATATGCCAAAGCAGCGTGCCTTAAAATGCACACAGGCATCATACTGCATAAAGGAAAATATATGGATATGCAATTTGTATAAACTAAAGTCATTTTTTAAATTAAAAAATGCATTCATGTTTGTCAAGGTCTGATAAAAACTATTATACCTATTATAGAGTCCCACTTTCATTTATATCATGAATAGTAAATGATTTATTTCCATGCACCCAAAATAACATTGTAGAGTTTTAAAGAACTCCCTGAATAATTGTTTATCAGAAGATTGTAAGACGAGTCTGTTTCCATTTGACGCATTCAGTAATTTTCTACAACCTGGTCCAGTTGCTTAAAAATTAACTGCCAAGTTTATTCACTAAGTGGATTCAATAAAGGTACTATTTTCCATACAGCTAAAGCTTAGGGAAAGCCATAGTAAGCCCTGAAAAAAAAATCAATTTCTAGGGAATTGCGCTGCCTTGCATGGGCAGAAAATGGATGGAGTTTTTAATTCAATATCACCTAAAAAAAATAGTTTGCTTTCAGACCATTATGGTAAAGCTTTAAATATTTGGCTCTACTTTAAACTTCCACCAATTGAATTTATCAAGGGAAATATTTTTCCTTTTATACATTTCTGAGGCTGTAGCTTCAGAGAGCTGTAATAATTAGGAGTACAGTGCAGGTACCAGAAACAGCTTTCTTTCTGAGCCATTTTGCCAATCCTTAAAAAGATATTGACAGATTAGTGTGTAAGGCCAATTCAGCACCCGACTTAATTGTAGTACAACCTGATTGATGCCATTTACAATCAGCTAATTACTATATTTAGGATCAGAAAGAAATGGGATACTCATCAGAGGCATTGGCAACTATTTTCCTATTTAAGAAAAAATTCTGTGATTCATCATTTATATTACTAATACAGGGGGAGTAGATCGTGTGCAATGTTGCAATCTGTATAAAAGATGGTACATAAAGAACAGAGAGGAAATCTCTGAGCCAAATCATGGTAAAGGCAAGCAATACATTTTAAAGTGGCAGAAAGCAAACAGCAGCTCAGGAAGTGCCGCAGTTGCTAACGGAGCAGAGTTCCCATTTGGTGTACTGGGATCAATGGGTATTCAGGAAAGGTGGATAGCAGCCTGTTGCTTGAAAACATTGCTCCACCTAGTCTCAATGTGCCTCTCCAACCACCTAATTTGTGCCATGAATTTGCCTAACAAGCTTCACCCTCATCACACCTCGAAATACATTTCTAGAGGAAAGAAAAGTCATCCATTCAAGCCCACAAATTCTGAATGCGTGACCTGGACATTGGAGGGTAAGCAGGACGCAGCCATTCACACTCTCGGGTCTAGGCTTTGAAGGGGCCATGAGCTGTGGTCATCACTTCCACCACTCCCCGAGGGCTTCAGACTCTACCTGAAGTCTTAGTTTACCCAGTAAGGATGGTAAGCACAGGTTTGCCTTGGCTTACTTACTAATCTGTGGTGAACAACGTCACATCGCTTTAGCACATCACAGAGTCTGCTTCTTGGTCCCATGGGCCTCTGTCTCACTCCCAGTTCCCCTATCGACAGAATCAAAGTCTCTTTTCAAATGTACAACCCCTGGCAGGGGCGGGCTACTCAGTAAGCAAGGTTAGCAAAAGATTACTTGTGATTACTGATTAATCTGGAGTGGGCAGTTTTCAGGAAACAAACCCAAGATCATGTTTACTTTGCTTACTGGGTAGCTGCCTCCGCCTGAAAGTCCCCAGGGAGATGAGGGGGAGACATGGCCCCTGTGAAAGGGGGACACGTTTCCTCTCAAGAAGGCACCAAAGGGTTCTTCGAAAAATGGAATTAAAAGATAGTGGGATTTTTACACAATCTTCTCGCTCCTTCATATCCACACAAGGTATACTGATATTATACATTCCATATAAAATCTAATATCAAACCACTTCACCCTACCCCCCTTAAATACAAGTCTGCCCCTTTAGGCCTCATGAAGTTCAGGCTGCACATGATTCTTGAACTCAAGGAGCCCTGAACCCACTCCATCGCTACACAGCACAGTCTAGCTGCCACAATTCTCTCCCTGCTCAGGGCCCGTTCCACCTCATTTCACCAAAGCACCCTAGATATTCTTCTCTTCAACGAATTCCTCCAAGAGACCTTGACCATGGCTAACCCAGGACCAGCCCTAGCTTGGACCTCATTCAAAGCAACCTTGTCCTATTCCTTCACCTTAGGCCAGCCTTTATGTTCCGGACCTACCCTCAGTACAACTCAGACAGCCCAAGCTGTGCTACAACAACTGAAGAACAGGCTTGGCCCAACCCTTCTGTCTCCAAGGTCCATGGTAGGGGCAGCAGGTATTTCACTGCCCCCTCTGACAGCAGGACTTTATTTGCATGTCTAGGACTCACGCCTAGGGACACCTCATAGGCTCCATACCTTGATCTCTGGTAACAGCATTCTAAACATACACCAGCACTGGATGCATGGGTTAGCCATTCCACAAACCCATATACTGCTCCTTCCTCTACTATCTCTGCCTCCCACGCACAAAATTGGGACACTCTTTTGCCGAGGTCACCCCTACACCTGCTTAATTATCCTTCCTGCCTCAGATCTCATGGCAAAACTACTAGTAACTGCCTATATTTTCCAGTCCCCACCAAGAATATGACATTAATTATAGACACCCAGAAACTCCACCTCTCTAACCAACTTTCATCCAACCTCCCTGTGACTCCAGGGAGCAAGAACCTTTTCTCTCTGGGACTCTTAGCCTCCCCGGACAAAATATGCAGGGCCTTTAGCGTTTCGCCGGAATTCTATGCATTCTAGCCCCTGCTAAGAAGAGACAGGCTATCTCTTTCTGGGTGGGTCCTCCCCCTATTCACGCTGACCTACCAACTGGATTGGAGGATGCACCCTAGCCTTCCTTTTCGCAGATACTTCCCTAATTTGAGGTGATGCCCCCGTCCCAGGGCCTCTTCCAGTCCGTTTGCCAGAGGCAAGCCCTACAGCTAATCCCCCTCCTCGTCAGACTTGGTGTTACTGCTGGCGTGGGAATGGGGCAGCAGGCATAGGCCTGGCATGACACAAGCTCATGCTCCTCTCTAGAGACCTGGCTGGTAGCATAGCCATATCTGACCACTAACTAAATACAAGGCCAAGTCAACTCCTTGGCCACAATGGTCCTCCAAAACTAAAGGACGCTGGCTCTCCTCTGTGTAGGAGGAGATACTTGTGCTTTTTGGCAGGGAGCCTGCGGCTTCCAAAACAAGTCAGGACTTCAATGAGAAGGGCTCGCCCACTTTGAGAATGAGCCAGCCACCCTCCTGAAGCCAGAGCTGTTCCTGAATGAGCTCCTATGGGAATCTTGGGTCGTGCCCACCCCTGGCCCCTCAAAACCTTCTTTGTACTGCTAACAAGTGACCCTGCATAGTACAGCTCCTCTCCTCTCTTTCGTTGCCAAACATTTAAAGGCAATCACCATTTCTTTAGCTTCTCAAATACTCTACTCACTTCTAAAGCCAGTCAGTATCTCCCCTGCCCTCTACGGTGACAACACCCCAACTTCAGTCTGAAGCTGCCAGAGACTTTCTGGTTCCCTTATACACCCTTTTCCCTCGTACCATCAAAATGAGAGAAAAATCTGCTTTGCCTGTGAATCCAGAAGGGACCAAGCTCGACCGTCCACTGTCCAGAATAGTCCAAGAGAAGAAAAAAATCTAGCTCTTGTGACAGACCAGAGCCCCTCCAGCACTGCATTCTGTACAACGGCCCTCTAGAGCCCACGCGTCCTGCGTGTTGGTGCACTGTGCATGGTGCCTCTCGCTGGCAAGACCTTAACGTACTCTTTCACCTGAAGTCAGTTCCAGGCCCCAGGGTCTCTCGTGCCAAATCCACTCTCAGTAAGCAAGTTCAAGGCTGGAAGAATCAATCTGCAATTCCTAAGAGGAGGAGGAGGGCTTCAAGAGTCTAATAAAAATAAAAATGGTTTTGAAGAGAAACTTTCAGAACCTTGACACTTAAAAATACACTATAATTTTTGGGTTTCTAGAATGTTTTCAAGTTTTATGGGCAGGGCAGGCCTATGAAGTGAGGATCAGTTTTTGTATTGCAGAATATCCAAAGTGGTTTTTTTTTTGCTTATCTGAATATGCTAATTTGTAGAGAGTATCCAAATATTATTCAGGTAAAAAGAAGCTTTAAAAAAGAAAGCTATCAGAGCATGCCCACAGATTGCTTACATTTTGAGAAATTCTTCTTTCTAACCAAAAGGTGTCATTTCAATCCATCCTAACGATGAAACCCCCCATGGAGATGAACAAACAGCTAACGATACTTTGGCCTCTTTAGTTCTGCTGGGTGTTATTAATTCAGCTCTCCAAAGTGAAGCACAGCAACAGTGCTCCATGTGATAAGAATGTGGCGTTCACGAACCCACAGCTTCAACAGTCTAGCTGGGCGCACGTGTAACCATCACAGCACTCTGAAAGTGTTCAGCCCAGCTTGTTAGGGCGCCTCGCTAGTCAGCAACAACCAGTCAAGCCTAGACCTGCTTGTTCAGGCATTCTGGGCCAAGGCCACCACCAAGCAGTTTCTCGGGTGTGAGGCATAGGGGCGTAGATGGCTGTCCTCCGTCACTGGCTTGTAAGAAGGGAAACAATCAACTGAGAGTAATTCCATCAGTTGTCGCGTTGCCTCTCTAATACCCACGTGGCTGTTCCCACTGAAAAGAGGTGACATGAAGTGCTGTCCAATAAAGGCAGCATATCATTTTGAACAGCATTTCCGGTTCCTTGTTTTGACTAAACAACAACAAACGAAAGAAAGACAGCAAACCAGAAGTGGAGGAGGAAGAAGGGGACGTCCTGATACGTGTCCACCATCAAGGGACCGGATGACCCGGGAGAAATGGCCAGCATGGGGCCTTGGGGAGGAGGCGGGGCTTGGCGGCAGAAGAGTGCTTGTGTGGTTTGTCCTCGCGTCACCAGGACTCCTTCCGTTTCCAGTCTCACAACTTCCGGTGATGCGGCAAGACTTAACATTGGCTTTATGGCACACCGCTCAGACGCCCCCCAGCCCCGAATGCGAACGTCTTTCTAAATGCATTTGAAATCCCTGCAAGAACCACCACAGCGGCAGCAGTGTCAGAGTTGGCTCTGGGACTTGGACTTCTCGGGACATTGACACTGGGCTCATCAGGAACACCTTCCCCGGCCCCGTCTTACAAGCCAGAAGAGGAGGTACCAGTTTGGAGACGCAGAGGCCGGAGTCACACAGCCCTAGAGGACCGGTGCACTTTTTGGAATCCTGCACATTGACCTCAAATCAAGGGCCAATATCAAACAAATGCTATCCCACTAGAACTGAGGTGATACTCAATGAGAGGGCCAAAAGCACCTTATGATTGATTTTGTAACTGAAATATACGCAGATAATTAAAGGAGCCCTGCAACAGACAGAAAACAGCATCCATCCCAAAGATTGAATATTAAAACTTTTTCTTTAAAGAAAGTGCTTGATTGACCATAGTACTAGAATTTGTGAGGAAAAATGCAAAGGAATTCAATTATGGATCAGTAAAGAACACATTTTTGGTTTAGCCTGCCTGTTTTGGGAAGAATCAGTGCCTATCGCTTATAAATCATTTAAATAAAAATGCTCAATTAATCCTTATTTTCTATGTAAAGGTCTGACAGAAAGTAGTCCTGTCTCTAGTCCTTGGCTTCACAGATCGAAGCAATAATGGTTTCAGAAAGCAGTCACACTCTATGAGCAGACAATTGGAGAGATTTAGTAAATCCCACTTTATAGAGCAGAGACTAATCGGAAAACACAGGCCAGCCAAATGTTTCTTATGAACTGTTGACACTATATCAATGCTGAATCAATTGGTGGCATTTACACTGAGTGACAGAAAAGAAATAAATATTTATATCACATAACCTATATCAATGAACCCAGGCAGAAAGCTATTTCTGACCTGTCAATATTCGATTATCTTGAAGAATCATGTCCCTTTCTTTTAATGATTAATATGAATTCCTTATTAAATCTAAGTGGAGGCTAGTGGAAAGGCAAATCATTATTAATGCTTGAGAGCATAAACCACAAATATATATATATACATACACACGTGCGCGCGCGGGCACACACACACACAAACTATGCTCAAGTGTTAAAAGTATCATTAAATGTGACTTACATCTTCCATATCAAGGGGTGTCAGTGGGCAGCCCAGAAATGTACTAAAGCCCACAACAGAGAGCATGACCTCCCGGCAGCGCGGCCTTGCTCACTGTTTAGCTGCCCGCTCTCACAAGGGTCTCGGGGACAGTAAGTGGAGGAAGGTCGTGTTTGAGGAGTTCCCCAAAGGGTGTCTCTTTGGTTTCAGTGAGTGAGAACAAACATCATAAAGGTGAATCCCTAAAAGAAGTGGCATGGCAGACTAATGTGAAATGATCAGGTCCCCGCAGGAAAGCAGTAAGCAATCTTTAGGTGTCAAAATATATAATAATAATAAACAATCTTTAAACGTCAAAAATCACTGCCATTGACAACTTCCCATCCCTGAGCACCTCATAACTGAGCCCACTGAGACACGTATGGTACTGCAGAGCTTGTGGTCAAAACACTGGAACTATTCAGAATGCTGATTTTTTTTCCCCCAGTAGAAATAAACTGAGGTTTTCCATTTTCAAAGAGGGATCTATGACAGGTTGAACAAATGTAGTTAAAGCTCCTGAATTTATGTGCATGTTGAGATCTGCTTTCCAGCTGGAGCGGAGAAGTGACCGGCACGTACATTACTGGCGGTGACTGGAATGTACGCATGCTGCAGATGCATACATTTCTTAGTCTCCGTGTTTCTGCTTTTAGTTAGCTTTCGTTCAAGCTGCCTCGGAACGCACAGTGGGACTATGGGCAAGCATAAGTGAGGCTTCATCTGAACCAACCTTGGGCAGCTTGCAGTTAAAAGCACTAGATGATTGCTACCCAAAATGTGGAGGCTTAGCAAGATTCTATACACAGCAGGCCTCTTCAGCTATATAAAAGACTACAACCTACATAGTCTGGGTGATTACCAGATGTCTGAACCAGATCCACTTACCTCTTTTCTAACTGTATTCAAAAGAGGATGTGCTACATAAGCCAGGTTCCCAGAGCACGACCATCCAGCCACCATTTCGAGGCATGCACATCTATTAAGCCATGATGTTACAGGTGCGATTAAAGGACAAGCATGAGGACCCAGCTTTGTCTTCTTGACACGCTCCACTACAAGGACCTGATTCATGCCATGCCAATGAGGCTTGGAGGGGCCAGTGTGTGAAGGCACTGAATAAGCATCTGAGATAATTAAGACTTCAGCCTTGGAAACATGGACGGGAAGTGAACAGCAGTTAAGAAAATCAATAAGGGTCTTTTATTTGCAGTGACACAGATGTCTCAGTCAATAGAGCCTAATAGGCAGGCTTGATCGCAATGGACAGGCGCCTGCCTCCAAGGCTATCAAAGGGCTTCCACTATCACAAACATCAAAACACATTTATGTTGCTATTGAGGAATCGAGGGTCCTGTAGGCAGCTTCATTTACCAGTCCATGTTTAAAGTCACTGTTCTATTTCAGATGTGTCCAGTTACTTGAATCAAAATCAGGGCAACATAACTGGCCTGCAGGTCCATGTGTCCCTTGCCGGCTGGGTCAGGCCATTCAAGATGGTCAGTCGAAAAGGCAAATCAAGGACTCCTAAAGCCCAGGGATTTAAAATGCCAAAGGTTGCTGGTGCTCTGCTCCCCGAAAGAGCCAGTGCGGGTTTAGGGCAAAAGAAGGAGCTTAGGGGAGAAAGTACCAATTTTTCCTCTTCTCCCCAAAGACAATGAGAAAAGCAGTCACCTTTGAGTGCAGGGCCATTTCAACAACCCGTAGGGTGACACACTTGTTCAGAACTGATTAACTTTTTTAAAACTGAGATGGCAGCAGGGTGTATGTTCGGCACTTCAATCTGCTGGGAGTGAAATCCATTAGCACAGTTTGGAAAATGTGCTGCAAATTGCTCTGCCAATCAAATTAAGCCATATAATTCATTTATGACAAGCAGGACTTCACAGACTCTTCATCTGTTGACGGAGTTTAGGAAGAGAAAAACCAGACAGGAACAAGCTACTGCGACCTACCTGGCCGTTGGCTAATATTTTTTTCAGTTCCGCAGAAGACTTCTTTAAGCTGGAAAGGAAAGACACAATATTAGTGGCAAGATCCTGGGACACCTCTGACCACCACTGAAAACTCCAGAGGAAAACACCACTTTGCTTTAAGGTGTAGGCATGAACTGCACTTTGTATGTCCTTTGCCGGACAAAAATGATTTTGAAAGCAACCGGACAAATTTCAATGGTATCAATAACCCAAAAACCGAAACTCCCTGCCATCAGGTCAATTCCGACTCGGAGGCGGAACTGTCCTACCGAGCTTCCGGGACTGTAACTCTTCGTGGGAGGAGAAAGCCTCCTCTTTCTTTGGTGGCACAACTGGTGGCCTCGAACTGCTGCTGGCCTTGTAACCACAGCCCGATGCATAACGCACTGTGCTATCAGGCCTCCCTGTCAGCAGTCTGAAACAAGACGCTTCCGTCACGATGCAGCTGGGGTAATCTGTGAGAGCAATCCAGCGACTGTTTTCAGTTGAAGCCCTCTGGGCTTGCTGCCTTTGGGGGCCCTTCTGAGGCTATTTTAGCAGAGGCTGCCATCTTCTCAACACGAAGTACTGAACGGTGCACTCGTAGGACGCTGACAAGGAAAACTCATAAAACTTCAGAAGAGAAAACAGAAGGTCCAAGTCGTGGGCTCGTGTTATGATTAAGAGTTAGAATTCCGCTTCCGAGGAACCAAACGGGCAAATGAAACCAAACTCAGGGCAAGGCTGCAGGACAGAGCAGACTGCCCCCGAGAGGCTCCAAGACTGTGACCCTTTATGGGAGCAGAAAGCCTGATCCTAGCTGTGTGATTTGAAGCAAGTTACTTACACTCCTGAACCTCCCTTTTCTCTTCCTAAAGAATGGGGAGAAATACCAACTTTAGGAGGTGACCAGGTAAACTACCTATGACAAATAGCCGAGCACTGTGGTGCGCACATCCAGCTCACTGCCGAGTAGATGCCGACTCACCGCAGCCCCGGTGGGGGAGCAGGACTGCCCGCGAGGGCTCTCTTGGTGGTCATCTTTATGGACGCAAACCACCAGGACATTGCTGGGTGGGGTTGAACCATCAACCTTTAAATTAGTAGTCAGGCTCAAACTATTTGCACCATCAAAGGATCTACTCTTGCCCACAGCAGAGACCTTTATTTGGACAAAAAAACAAATCCACTGCCATTGACTTGATTCTGACTCCTAGTGAACCTACATAGGATTTCTGAGTTTAAAGTTTGAGAGAGGCAGACAGCCTCATTTATCCCCAGTAGGGTGGCTGGTGGGTTTGAACCACCAGCCTTGAGATTAGCAGCCCAATGTTTTAACCCACAGCACTACCAAGGATCCTTTATTTATACATAGTGCTACACAAATCTTAGCTGCTTTCGCTTTTCTTTCCTTTCCTCTAAGCGTGAGAGCTAGCTTACAGGCTTATTTGTTGCTGACAGCTACGAGTCAGCTCCAACTTGCAGCGACACCATGGACAACAGAAAGAAATATGGCTCTGTCCGTGCCATCCTCAGAACTACTGTTAGACTTAAGCCACCACCCCCTTTTTTGCAGCCACTATGTAAAGCCACCTCGTGGAGGGCTATGTAGGTAATATGAAGATGTTCTACATATAGGTATGTAAACTTCATGTAGATGAGTTTAGAAGTCCTTCTATAGAAAGAGGGGTGGCCAAGGAACACTCTAGGGCCCGTATGGCTTTATGAGAAATGATGCCAGGTCATAGCCACCAGGCTAGTCAAGTGGCAGAGCCCTGGTGGTGTTGTGGGTTGCGTGTTGAGCTACTAGAAACCCACCAGCTGCCCCATGGGAGAAAGAGCAGCCCCTCGACTCCCATGAAGATGCAGTGTTGGAGGGGCACAGGGGCAGTGCTTCTCTGTGGTTTCTAGGAGTTGGGATATCAGGAAGTGAATAAGTAGGGGGGCCTGAGACACCACCCCCTTTCCCCTTCAAGGTTGTCATTTGAAATTTAAAACATGTTCACTTTAGTCTTAATCGCTGTACTCCAGCCCTTTACCAGCACCGATGATCGATATGAAACACACACACACACACACACACACTCCATTTGGTACCTTTCAAAAGTCCTATATGAGAACACATTCACCAGTACAAAGTACAATTATTCTTCTTTCTAAAGATGCCTTACAATTTTGCTGCGGTCAAGTGCCTACTTTCCAAAATTTTATAAAACATACCTTTATCTAAGTGTTTAAGATGTTAATCATATCCCCCCACGTCAAAGAACACATACACTTAAATGGCGGATAAGAATTGTGTAGAAGAAACTAAATTTGTGCCTAGACCACAAAATGAACAACAACCTACTGCAAGTCTCATTTTTTAAAAAGCAACTGTAGCTTTCATTTACTGGGTCCTGATTACGTGCCAGGCACTGTGCTAAATGCTATTCTGAATGGAATCATCATAAGGAAGCTCTGGGGTATAGCTGTAATTACTAATTTACAGAGCAAAATAAGGTACAGAACTGGGTCCAAGTCAATCTCTCTCTCTCTCTCTCTCTGACACACACACACACACACCTCACTCACTTTTGTCCCCTGGGCAACATTTAGACACTAGTGCTCCCAAAGATGACTTTGAATTTGATACAGACAGATCTTGGAGATACTGCTGGGTAGGACTGGGTCTCTGCAATAAGGCCAGCATCACGTTTAAGTGGGCCACATGAAATGTTCCGTTTCCCAGGGCATATGAAAGTTATGTTTCTACTGTACCATAGTCTATAAAGTGTACAATATTATGAAAACGTTTGTATTACTATGCTAATTGTCTAAATATGACACAAAGGCATGAAGTGGGCATACGTGACTGGAAAAATGGCGCCAACAGTCTTGTCAGATGTAGGGTTGCCAAAGGCCTTCAGTGTGTAAAAAACACAAAGCACTATCTGCAAAGCGCCACCGAGCAACATGCCCTCAAACAAAGCATGCGGGTCTGCGGTGATGACACAGGCAGATCTCCACACATGCTCTGTCATGTGAGACAACTTGAAAGAACAACGCCTTGATTCACTGCACTCACAAAACACCTTTCATCCAAGAAACAGAGTGTGTCTTCTTAATACAGCTTCATCAGTCTTCCTAATGCCAGAGGTGGAAAGACAGAAAGTTTAATCATCCCAATTTTACAGAAGGAGAAAGCCAAGAGGTTTCCGAAGGGCCCTGCCTTGACAGTAGGACTGAATTCAGTAATGGGGCCTACGAACACAGGTGGATTAGTACATTCAGTTTAATCAACACCCATTCAGCTAAGACAAAGAACAACGTAGGCTTGGGTAGTAAACATGGATGTTATCCACTGTGCCAGCATTTGGGTGCCAATGTGATCTGGTAGAAAGCATTCTCTATCCCCGAAATGCCTTTGTACCTCAGATTTACCGAATGCTTTGTTTACGTGTATGGTCATAGTGCCTTGAGCTGTCTAAAAACCACTATCAAAAACATTTTTTAAAGAGAGTGAGGGTCTAGACACCATACTGGCACAAAAAGCCCTAGAGATGATGTCCCTGCACAGAACTGCTGAGGCACAGAGAGGACTGCAGGGCCGACAACAGCTCGAGACACAGTGTCCTCTCACTGGAGCACACCACAACAGAGGACAATACTGGGGACACACGGCGGGGAGGAGTCCAGCCTGAACCCCCCACAGTGGAGCAAACCAAGAAGGGAACATAACAGATCAGCAATGGGAGCAAAGCCAAGCCCCAAAGCCCCAGAGGAGCCTCCAAAATGGACTGTATGTTAGGAGGGGCAGTTCCTAGAACTCCCCCAGGACCGGTGGAGATGGTTATAAAGGTCAGCGGACAGACCAGGAATTACATATGCTTTTGCTTTTCTCTTCTTATTCAATCTTTTCTTTTCTTTTTGTTTTGTCTCCATTATCGTTTGTTTTCCTACCTAGATAAGATAGGCATGGGAAGCAAGCTGAGGAGAAGCAATGGGACCGATGGTTCTGGTGGGACTTGGGGGGCAGGAGGCAGAGGAAGTGAGCACTGAGCAAACACCACCACAGACAGGGGAACAACTAGGGAATTAAGATTAACAGTGAGGAGGATGTAGAGATCCTGAGGGTGTTGGAGCAACAGCAATCTAGCCAGGAGGAATGACTAAGAGGCAGAAGAGGGGCAAGCATGATGGTGGGGCAGGAGGAAGGCAAAAGGAAACAGAGGAAAGATCTAGGAAACAAAGCTCTAAATAGAGGTATAAACATAGGTGTGTACATATGTAAATATATTAATTCATAAAAATAGAAGTATCGGCGTATGTTTATACATATATTTAAATGGCAATGCATTGGGGCAGTGGATGGACTATACGGGCCTCTGCTCAGGCCCTCCCTCAACACAAGTACACTTTGCTCTAACAACCTGGCATTCTGTGGTGCTCACCTTCCCAGCATGATCGCTGAAGACAAAATGGGTGCATAAGCAAATGTAGTGAAGAAAGTTGATGGTGCCTGGCTATCAAAAGAACTAGAGTCTGGGGTCTTAAGGTCTTAAAGTTAAACAAGCAGCCATCTAGCAGAGAAGCAACAAGCCCATATGGGAGAAGCACACCAGCCTGTGTGATCATGAGGTGTCAATGGGATTGGGTAACAGGCATCAGAAGACCCAAAACAAACAAACAAAAAACATACTGCTGAGAAGGAGGAGGGTTAGAGCAGAGACTCAAAACCCATGTGTAAAAAATGAGACATCCCCTCACAGAAGGCTCACAAGGAAGGGATGAGTCAACAGGGCACAGTATAGCACTGATGGAACAGCCCCCACCCACCATCATGACCCAGTCCTGCCTTTCAGTTCTGACTGGACTGGAGCATGTACACTGGTACTGATAAAGAGCTTAGGACACATGGAATCCATATCAGATAAACCCCTTAGGTACAGAAATGGGAGTAGTGATACTAGGAGGGTAGAGGGAAGGTGGGGATGGAAGGGAAGAAAGGGGAACCGATTGCAAAGATCGACACGCAACCACACACATACCCCTAAGGGGACGAACAAC